TAGGGCGAGCATGGGTGAGACGAGGCAACGGCCACTTCCTCCTCCTCCTCCTCCTTCCCCACCCACAAACACAGGGAGACACACTGGACGCAGAAATCACCACAAAACTCACCTCTGGCTTGCTGAAACAGCTGTGCTGAGCTGAACAACAACAGCAACATACAAGTGATGCTGAACACGTGACTTGAGAAACAGCGTGGGGTCACTGGGACGCCATTTACAATTCTCGAAGAAATTCGACAAATTTCGGCTAGATCCTGTTTGTACCTGTGTCTGGATGCTCAAACGTGCAGACACGACATCAGGATAACTCGTTGAGAGACGGATGTTTCTTGTATAGGGTGATGAAGTGAAGATGACTTCATCCCTCTTCCTTCCTCTCTCCGGGCAAACACAACTGCTGCAACCACCGCTGCTACCAATGTGAAACAGGATTATTTGGTGATTTCTGCAAGCGGGGTTCAATGATACGCCTTCGGAGGCTTCTTTACTTTATTTGTAATGTAGTGGTGGGTACACAGGCTTGTGTGTTGTGCCCATGGCCCGGGAGGGCCATCCCATGAGAGGAGAGAGCTAGTAGGCCTTCTGTCTTGCTGCTAGGCCGCTGTGAGAGTGAGAGTGTGTGGGCCCAGCATCCCACTGACCTGGAGCAGGTCCAGAGGGCAGCACCTTAGTGGCACGAAATATGAACTAAGCTGGCAGACAGCATAGGCTGTCTGTGCAGACAGTACAGGCTGTCTACATGCGTGCGTCGTGCCGAATAGGTAAAACTTGCTATTTTGATTTAAATAGCAACCCTCTTCTTGCCGAATAAGGCAAGCGAAAATTTGTGTGTGCAATAATTTCGCAAAAAATTATTCTGAACATAACGAAAAAATGTATATAATTGTGTTTGTTTATTATTAAATTATTGTAAACTTATCTATAATATATTTAGCTGGATTAGTCTAAATTAAATTGCGCTTGTTATAATAAGGTTAGGTAAGTTTGCTAAGGTTCTTTTGGTATAAAATTATTAACTTTTACATTAACATAAATGAAAAAAATATACCTTCAAACGAATAATAGAAAATTTTAGAATATATATATAAATATATATATATATATATATAATATATATATATATATATATATATATATATATATATATATATATATATATATATATATATATATATATATATATATTCATTCTACTTTCTCTCCTACTTTCGCTACTTTCACCTCAATCTCCCTCGGTTGTTCCTTTCCTCTGGCTTTCATTTCTCATTCTTTTCATTCCTTTTTTTCCTCTTCATTCAACACTTCCCAGAGATTTGCATAAAAATTGCCTCTTGTGTTGTGTGGAGTGAGTTAGAGCCTTGTTTACCATCTATGTCCTCTCTCTCTCTCTCTCTCTGTCTCTCTATCTCTCTCTCTCTCTCTCTCAGGGAATGATAGGGCCTATAACAGGTGTTCTCGAATAGGCAACACACACACACACACACACACACACACACACACACACACACACACACACACACACACACACACACACACACACGCACACAATTTTCTCTCTGCCCCAGAGAGTGCCATCAGGGTACCAGTCTTTCATTAAGAATAAAAGTTTGTGTGGTGGCACAAGTTAAAACATTGCAGCGACCACAAGTGGAAGACACTTGCTGAAATGGCAGGTATCAAGATTTACATAAAATTCCTCTTTCAGACACTCGGCAATCCTGCCAGCTTCCTTGATGGCTGTGTGTGTGTGTGTGTGTGTGTGTGTGTGTGTGTGTGTGTGTGTGTGTGTGTGTGTGTGTGTGTGTGTGTGTGTGTGTGTGTGTGTGTACTCACCTAATTGTGGTTGCAGGGGTCGAGACTCAGCTCCTGGCCCCGTCTCTTCACCGACCGCTACTAAGTCTTCTCTCCCCCTGCTCCATGAGCTTTATCATACCTCGTCTTAAAACTATGTATGGTTCCTGCCTCCACTACATCGCTTGCCAGACTATTCCACTTCCTAACTACTCTATGACTGAAGAAATACTTCCTAACATCCCTTTGACTCATCTGAGTCTGTGTGTGTGTTTGTGTGTGTTAGTTACCATTTTGTCCTAGGCACATGTCGATTAGACACTAGGCCTGTTGTATTTGCGAGTGTGTGTGTGTGTGTGTGTGTGTGTGTGTGTGTGTGTGTGTGTGTGTGTGTGTGTGTGTGTGTGTGTGTGTGTGTGTAGTGTTTTTGTGTGTGTGTACGTGTTTTGTGTGTGGGACGTGGGTTTTGTGTGGTGTGTGTGTGTGTGTGTGTGTGTGTGTGTGTGTGTTGTGTGTGTGTGGTGTGTGTACTCTCTAATTGTACGTCCATATGTGGGTTTCAGGGGTTGTGTCATAGCTATTGGCACCCGTTTCTTCAATGGTCCACACCCTTCCTGCGCCATGAGCTTTATGGTACCTCTTCTTAAAGCTATGTATGGATCCTGCCACTACTACATCACTAACCAGATTGTTCCACTTCCCGACAACTCTATGACTGAAGAAATACTTCCTAACATCACTGTGACTCGTCTGAGTCTTCAACTTCCAGTTTTGACCCCTTGTTGCTGTGTCATGGCTCTGGAACATTGTCACTGTCCATTTTGTAAATTCCTCTCAGTATTTTATGTCGTTATCATGTCTCTCCTATGCCTCCTGTCCTCCAATGCTGTCAGGTTGAGTTCCCCTAATCTCTCCTCGTAGGACAAACCCCTCAGGTTCCGGACTAGTCTTGTTGCAAACCTTTGTACTTTCTCTAATTTCTTAACGTGTTTGACCAGGTGTGGGTTCCATACTTGGTGCTGCATACTCCAGTATGCGCCTGACGTACACGGTGTACAGTGTCGTGAATGACTCCTTACTTAGATGTTGAAATGCTATTCTCAGGTTTGCCAGGCGTCCATATGCTGCAGCAGTTATTTGGTTGATGTGTGCCTCAGATGTGCTCGGTATCATACTCACCCCAAGATCCTTTTCCTTGAGTGAGATTTGCAGCCTCTAACCTCTTAGGCTGTACTCCGTCCGTGGTCTTCTTTGTCCTTCCCCAAGCTTCTTAACTTTGCACTTGGTGGGGTTAAACTCCAGGAGCCATATGTCGGACCAGGCTTGTAGCCTGTCCAGATTCCCTTGTAGGCTTATCTGATCCTCGTCCAATTGTATTCTCCTCATTAGTTTCACATCGTCCACAATCACCTCTGACTATCCCTTCCATCATGTCATTCGAATATACAAGATACAGCACCTGACCTAGGACTGACCCTTGTGGAACTCCACTTGACACATGTACCCACTTTGATACTTTCGTCTCGTACCGACACGCGTTGTTTCTTTTTTCTGTGTGTTTGTGTGTGTACTCACCTAATTGTGGTTGCAGTTATCGAGTCACAGCTCCTGGTCCCACCTCTTCGCTGGTTGTGTGTGTACTCACCTAGTTGTACTCACCTAGTTGTGGTTGCAGGGGTCGATTCACAGCTCCTGGCCCCCTCTGTGTGTGTATGTATGTGTATGGTGGGGAACGGAGGGGAGAGGTGGGGAGGGAGGGAGGGATAGAATGGAAGCTGGGTAATGTATATATGTATGCATACATATAATTATGTATGTATGTATACATGTAAGTATTTAAATATGTATGTACGTAAGCATGTATGCATATATATATGAATGTATGTATGTTTCTATGAATGTATGTATGTTTGTATGTATGTATGTGTGCATGTATGTATGTATGTATGTATGTATGTATGTATGTATGTATGTATGTATGTACGTATGTACGTAAGTGTTCATGTATTTATGTATGTATTTATGTATGTATATGTTTGTATTCATGCATACACGTATGCAGCTTTCTGTATATATTTATGTATATAACCGGAAAAGCAAACATGTATATGCTCGCCCATTTGTGATTGTGGGGGTTCGAGTCTCGGTTCGTGAACTTTCCTCTCAGTTACTCCCGAACAGTCACTCTCCTGAGCCTGAAAGGGGGGAGGGGGAGAAAGGCACTGTCGTACTTACTCGTCAAACTGAGTATCAGGTCCTTCCACTGACTGATCACCACAAACACGAACAGGTATGACACACACGCACACATACACACACAGACACACACACACACACACACACAACACACACACACACACACACACACACACACACACGCCGCACACACACACACACACACACACTACATACTGTCTTCTCTCTCTCTCTCTCTCCCATACATACATTTAGCCATATTCCAATAAGGGAGAGAAAAGTTATTAGAAAAGAGAGAGAGAGAGAGAGAGAGAGAGAGAGAGAGAGAGAGAGCTAGCACACAGTTAATATTATCTTCCAAAACCCCAGCCACAACACCTATAAAAGACAGATCCAGCAAATCTGTGTCGGCGATAAAAAAAAAAAAAAAGAAAGAAGAGAGTCGGAGGAGACGTAGGATAAAGAGTTGAAATCCCTTATAGTGGATCCCACGGTAGGTGAGCTTAGTGTTGAACCTTTCTTGTGACTCCAACACCACTCCCTCCACAACCACAATTCCCTCTATCTCTCTTTCTCTCCCTCCTTCTTTCTCCCTCCCTTTCCATCTACAGTTTTATCCTCATATCTGTGTGTTTTTACCGTCTAGTTCTCCTCTGTGAGTTAGGTGACCTTTGGGGGTCACAGTTGGTGCCGGTGGTACAAACATGCTACGGAGGTGCTACTGGTGGTGAGAATCATCTTATTACAACCCTCGTGGCTGAGTGGTCACACACCTGGGATGGCCACGGTTCAAGTCCCCAGTGTACCTACTAGGTCCCTGGTGTACGTAGCATGGTGGCCTAGTGGATAAAGGCGTCGAGATATTTACCCAGTGTCCCGAGAAGCAGGGTAAATATCACTGATTCGATATATGCTTAATTATTCGAAGTGTGGGTAGAGAGAGAGAGAGAGAGAGAGAAGAGAGAGAGAGAGAGAGAGAGAGAGAGAGAGAGTGGGAGTCAGCATCCTACCTTGTGTTCTCCCAGGTCCTCCACGGTGCAGGAGAGAGCGGCGTCGCGTCCTACCGTCACCGTAACGTTACCGATGCTTCCGGAGAAGCGGGTCATTAGCGGCGGCTCCGCTGCGGTCACACCTGTAGAGACAGAGATGTCAAAGGTTAAATGGGCCACACCTATAAAGAGAAACAGAAAGGTTAGAGGTCAAATAGGTCACACCTATAGAGAGAGAAAGAGATAGAGAGAAGTCAGACTGGCCAGTGATCATATCAAAAGTGAGTCTGAATTGGTTACTCTAATATAGAGAATATAGGTGAGTCAGAGGTCACAGGTCAAACCTGTAGAGAGACATAGAAGTCAAAGGTCACATCTGTGGGTCACGAGTCACACCTGTAGAGAGGAGTCGCAGGTCACACCTGTAGAAGAGAGGTCACAGGTCACACCTGTAAAGGAAGAGAGGGGTCACAAGTCACACCTGTAAAGGAAGAAAGGGGTCACAGGTCACACCTGTAAAGGAAGAAAGGTCACAAGTCACACCTGGAGGTCACAGGTCACACCTGTAAAGGAAGAGAGAGGTCACGCCTGGGGGGGCCACAGGTCACACCAGAGCCATCAGAACACCAACATTCAATTATCTCAGATATAAACAAGCCTGGAGGGTCTGGCGGAGACTTAGACAAAGTTTTGCATCTCTGTTCCTAGCGCAGGTCCAGGACCTAAGTTCCAGCTTCCAGCACTTACGTTCGGTCCTCAGACTCACTACTGCGGTCTTTAAATGGCTTAAAATTACCGGTCCTCACTATCTTTGGTTCGGTCCACAAATTCTCCAGTTCGGTGATACAATTAAGTTCGGTCTACAAGGTTTTAAGCTGGATCCACTGGTTCTTAAGTTCGGTACCTGAGTACTTGAGTTAAGTTCTAAGTATCAAGACTGAAGGCGGTGGAAGTTCGAACACCGAACCTAAGTTTGAGTCTGAGTGTGAGGGAGTCTCTCTCTCTCTCTCTCTCTCCCTCTCTCTCTCTCTGTCTCTCTCTCTCCTCTCCTCCCTCTCTCTCTCCTCTCTCTCTCTCTCTCTCTCTCTCTCTCTCTCTCGTCTCCTCTCTCTCTCTCCTCTCTTCTCTCTCTCTCTCTCTCTCTCTCTCTCTCTCTCTCTCCTCTCCTCTCTCTTCGTCTCTCTGCTCTCGTCTTGTATATATAGATAACTCAATCTATGCTCGACACACATCATCACATAACATTCCTAATCACACTAACACACCTCATCTCACCTCCACTCTCACATACTCTCACTCTCCGTCCACTACATCCAACTACCTCAACACACAGCAATCACAGCTCTCATCTCACCACTCTTCTCTCTCATCTCTCTCTCACCTCTCTCTCATCTACTCTTTGATATTGATTGTCTTATGGTAATAATAATGAAAAGAAGAAGAAGAAGAAGAAAAGAAGAAGAAGAAGAAGAAGAAGAAGAAGAAGAAGAAGAAGAAGAAGAAGAAGAAGAAGAAAGAAGAAGAACAGCAACAATAACAAGATAAAAAACACATAAACAAAATCAATAATAACAACAACAGGAACAACAACACCAGCAACAACAGGAACAACAACAGCAACAATAACAGTACCAACAACAGCAACAATAACAGCGACAACAACAGCAGCAACAACAACAGCAATAACAACAGCAGCAACAATAACATCAGCAACAACAGCAACAAAAAACATCAACAACAGGAACAACAACAGCAACAATAAAAGCAACAGCAACATCAACAACAGCAACAATAGCCAGCAACAACATCAACAACAGCAGCAGCAGCAATAACATCAGCAACAACAAAAACAACATCAACAACAGCAACAACAACAGAAACTACTTCTGCTTAATGCACGTGTAACAAATAAACAAACACACGTCCACTAAACACACTCACACACACACACATACAAACACACACACACACACACACATACTCGAACCCTGCAACCACAACTAGGTGAGTACAGACAGACACATACACACACATACATAGTTTTAAGAAGAGGTACTTTATTGCTCATGAAGCAGGGAGAGGACCTAGTAGCGATCACTGAACAGGCGGGGCCAGGAGCTATGACTCGACCCCTGCAACCACGATTAGATGAATTAGGTGAGTACACACACACACACACACACACACACACACATGAAGGCATCATGAAAACAATAGGTGAGGGCGATATGACCCAGGCGACAAATTTTCGGAGAATTGGGTGGTTTGCGAGTGGAAGGATACGGCCTGTCAGAGTAACTTTCAAGGAAGAATCAGCTGGAACCAGGATCCTGCAAAAGAAAGCACGACTGAGGGACAAACAGGGGTACCGGAGAGTATACCTCGATCGTGACAGAACACAAGAAGAAAGGACTACACTGAAAGAGAGGGTACAGAGACGCAAAGAGGAATGAGAGGCAATGATGATGAGCAAGACCCAGACACAGGAGGAACGGCAAACACACCCCGCAGAAACTCCCGACCGCGACAATCCCAACGCAACTGAGCAATCTAAACCAGAACCCACACACTGTTCCCTCTGCCACCAACCCCCACATCACAAACCTCACCCCAACAGCTGCCCCCTATGGGCATTCTGACCCCACCCCTCATCAAAAACCCTACCCACACCACAGCCCCCCTATAGGCCTCCACCAAGGCTCTCACTCCCCCAACCCCAATATTCTCCCAGGACCACAGTGATAGAAAAGATGCTGAAGGTTTGGTACACAAATGCGGACGGAATAACAAATAAATATGAGGAGTGGCACGAAAGAATCAGCGAGAAATCCCCAGACATCATAGCAGTCACAGAAACGAAACTCGCTGAGACAATAACAGATGCAATCTTCCCACAGGGATATCAGATCCTGAGGAAAGATAGGAGTAGAGGGGAAGGAGGGGTTGCACTGCTCAAAAAAACCGATGGGGATTTGAGGAAATGGAAGGTATGGACATGATTGGAGAAAGAGACTATATAGTAGGTACAATTCAGTCTGGAGAGCATAGTCATTGGAGTGATGTATAACTCACCACAGAACTGCAGGAGGCCAAGAGAGGAGTACGAAGAAAACAACAGAGTGATGGTGGACACACTGGCTGAAGTGGCAAGAAGAGCTCACTCGAGCAGAGCAAAATTACTGGTAATTGACAATTTCAACCACAGGGAGATCGACTGGGAAAACCTGGAGCCACATGGGGGTCCCGAAACATGGAGCGCCAAGATGATGGATGTGGTACTTGAAAACCTCATGCATCAACATGTCAGGGACACTACCAGAGAGAGAGGGGAGGATGAACCAGCAAGACTGGATCTTGTGTTCACCCTGAGCAGTTCAGACATTGAGGACATCACTTACGAGAGGCCCCTTGGAGCTAGTGATCACGTGGTTCTGAGTTTTGATTATATAGTAGAGTTACAAATGGAGAAAGTAACAGGAACTGAATGGGAAAAGCCAAACTATAAAAGGGGGGACTACACAGGTATCAGGAACTTCCTGCAGGAGGTTCAGTGGGACAGAGAACTAGTAGGAAAATCAGTAAACGAGATGATGGAATTTGTAACAACAAAGTGCAAGGAGGCAGAGGAAAGGTTTTTCTCAAGGGAAATAAAAACAATAGGAAGACCAAAACGAATGCTTGGTTTACCCGAAGGTGGTGGGAGGCAAAAACTAAGTGCACCAGAGAATGGAAAAGGTACAGGAGGCAAAGGACCCAGGAAAATAAGGAGATTAGTAGAAGAGCCAGAAATGAGTATGCACAGATAAGGAGGGAGGCTCAGCGACAGTACAAAAACGACATAACGTCGAAAATAAAGTCTGACAAGAAACTGCTGTATAGCCAAATTACGAGGAAGACAACAATCAAAGACCAGGTGATAAGGCTGAGGAAAGAAGGTGCGGAACTCACAAGAAACGATCAAGAAGTATGTGAGGAGCTCAACACGAGATTTAAGGAAGTATTTACAGTGGAGACAAGAAGGCCTCTGGGGGATAGAACAGAGGGGGACACCAGCAAGGATGACATACATACAAATGAGGAGGTGAAGAAGCTGGTAAGAGACATTGATACCCCAAAGGCAATGGGACTGGACATCTCCCTGTGGGTCCTTAGAGAGGGAGCGGATATGTTGTGTGTGCCACTTACCACAATCTTCAACACATCCCTGGAAACTGGGCAACTACCTGAGGTATGGAAGACGGCAAATGTAGTTCCCATTTTTAAAAAAGGAGACAGAAAAGAGGCACTAAACTATAGTCCTGTATCACTGACGTGTATAGTATGCAAAGTTATGGAGAAGATTATCAGGAGGAGAGTGGTGGAGCACCTGGAAGGGAACAAGAGTATAAACGCCAACAAGCACGGATTCATGGAAGGCAAATCCTGTGTCACAAACCTTCTGGAGTTTTATGATAAAATAACAGAAGTAAGACACGAGAGAGAGGGGTGGGTTGATTGCATCTTCTTGGACTGCAAGAAGGCCTTTGGCACAGTCCCTCACAAAAGATTAGTGCAGAATCTAGAGGATCAGGCGCATATAACGGGAAGGGCACTGCAATGGATCAGAGAATACCTGAAAGGGTGGCAACAACGAGTCATGGTACGTGATGAGGTATCACAGTGGGCAAATGTGACGAGCGAGGTCCCACAGGGGTCGGTCCTAGGACCAGTGCTATTTTTGGTATATGTGAACGACATGATGGAAGGGTTAGACTCAGAAGTGTCCCTGTTTGCAGATGATGTGAAGTTAATGAGGGGAATTAAATCAGATGAGGATCAGGCAGGACTTCAAAGAGCCCTGGATATACTGGACACCTGGTCCGGCAACTGGCTTCTCGAATTTAACCCCGCCAAATGCAAAGTCATGAAGATCGGGGAAGGGCACAGAAGACCGCAGACGGAGTATAGGCTAGGTGGCCAAAGACTGCAAACCTCGCTCAAGGAGAAAGATCTTGGGGTGAGTATAACACCGAGTATGTCTCCGGAAGCATACATTAACCAGATAATTGCTGCAGCATATGGGCGCCTGGCAAACCTGAGAACAGCGTACACCGTGTACGTCAGGCCCATACTGGAGTATGCAGCACCTGTTTGGAACCCGCACTTG